AGAAAGTAAAAAGAAAAGAATAATTTTATAGACGAGATCCAGTCGAGGTCGAATCTGCGTTCCTCAGTTCGCTGAACTATGACTATATATGACTATAAACTATTAAAAAATAATAATAAAATATTAAAGTGGCTGCATCTCAAGACCGTACCACTTAAAGATGTGGATGATGATATCTTGAATAGTTCGAAGCGATAGACTTTGCGACGATTAAATGATTGCTGGCTCAGATTGCTGATTGTAGTGCACGTCTAGCAAGGACGGGAAAGAAATAGAGACAACCGTTGGCGGTGCCGAGGAAGGGCGACGACATTGTTGTGGTGTTGGTCGGTCATAAAGATTTCTTGTTTCAACGAGATATTTTTCTACCTTTTGAGCGTAGTTTTCCAGTCTTTCCTTTTTATAATTCTCCTCTTCGATGAGCTTAGCAAGTTCCTCTGAGTATTGCACTGGTTCGACAAAATACATGTACGTAGCTGATGATTCCTTAAATTTCGTCAATGCTCCACTGAATTTAGTTGAGTGTCCTTTACTTTTACAACATTTACATAGTCCGAGTGTGTCGATCTCATTGCACAGACGAATCAGGAACAATCCCATATGTCCTTGTCGAGATTTCGGCGAAGAAAATTCCATTCTTCAGAAATGTATAAGTTGAAGATCTAGCAAAGTTTTGCCATATAGTCTATTCATTCGAATTTACAATGAAGGGTGAACTCGGAGGATTTCACGCAGTTTTAATGTGGCAAATTCCTATAGACACAAATACAGCTTAAACATCGATGGACAAAATCACCATAAAACCATAAAGAATTTTGAATAATAGCCATGCTCTGACGAGTCTACGGCACTGGTTTGACGAACCGCGGGAGTACTTATCCATATACATTCTGCGTACAAAGAACGTTCCTCATGAACGTTCCCCATGAAATTATACTATTATACACACGGTCTCAGCATCATCTGGTAGACTAGAAAGATACAAAGACGAGAACAACCATCCGTCAACCGTAATCTACGGGTCGGTGAATGCCATTCTTGCCAACGAAAATACATCCCCATGGGATTACATGATTCTGGCTCTAATTTTGTGTATAATAAGGAAAGAGCTAGACGCATAGCTGCGATAAAAATCAAGTAGTGAATCAATGTGATTTTGTATGTTTCATTTTGTCGTTTCTTTGGTAAGGTTGCTGATCAGCATACAAATGTAAGTGACACAAGGCTGAGGTACTGTATATCTACAGCGCGGATTAAGTTTAGGACTTGAAGGTATATTTTTTGGTTCAGATATGTGCCTTTTTGCTATTAAAAATGTAAACACTACATCCCAAATCATAGCATTACGAAATTGTATATTATAAAATCCATTGCCTGAACAAAGTTAACCCAATAATGCCGATAATAATTCCTGTGCAACCTGTCTCTCTTTGTCTGTCTCTCTTTGTTATTTCCTTCTTCACTGGGCTATATAGAATATGTTGGAATATTGTGACGGATTCGATGATAAAGAACCCATTTTATCTTCCTAATTTTGTTAGTCGTTTTTTAGTCTTAGACGTTGAGTCCATCTCTTCCATTGTTACACTCATAAAGATAGCACATGGAAGATGTGAATGTCACGTAATAGATGTGACATTCGTACCCAGTGAACTTAGATCAAGGAAAATTTGTGACTGAAAAGCGACAACCACGACGACAATGACGATAACGGCGAAAGCCGAATCCTAAACTCAGGACTCCTGTCGAATCCCGAGTAATTAGCTCTCCATTCATCGCAAAGTTGCTGGATAGGCGTATAACGCCGACTGTCTCGAGATATGAACAGACTCTATTTGATTGACAGAAGAAAATCGGCAAATTCGAGTAATCGGAAAATCCCAGAAATTTGTAATGCAAGGGCACGTTTTATGGTGGTAATAAGCGCGGGAACGAGTATCGAATAGGAGACGAAATATACAGGATTTCTAAACAAATTAGTTGTTGTGCTTAATAAGTTTGGTTAAACAAGTTAAGCAACAAGAATTAATTTCGTCGTTTCGACGCCATCGCGCGTCATGTTCAAGAATAGTTTCAAGAATAGAACCATGAACAATAAGAATGAGTGGAACAATGTAAGAATTTCACGTGCCAACATAGAACTTTCTTAACTAATGTAATCTTTGTTCTTCACCGCAGTTTTGTAACAGCTCGCGCTACGTAATTTACGCGCGCTGTTTGTAATTTCAAATGTRAGCGCGCTTATYGTATACAACAGTTGTAGAGSAATTGATAAGGTCGAATTTATAAGACGAAACTAGTTTTCCTCAAACAAGTATTGTGTTTTCTGTGTGTCAAAGGAGGGATAAAAGTTGAAATAATCATTTGACATCCTACAATATGAAGTATAGAAACTCCTTTAAGGTCCGAATCCGACAAATTTCAAGAGCCACACGATTACAGATATATTCCAGTTTGCCGAAGAGCTAGGAAACATCAAAGCGAAAGAAACCGACATCCTCGTCTCCTACGACGTAACTGCCCTCTTCACCAATGTACCAGTAGACGAGACTATAGAGACACTGGTCAACAAAGCATTCGAAGAGAACTGGTTTAATAGTACCTACAATCTAAATCTAACAAGAAAGAACCTTACAGACCTCCTAGAGATAGCTGCCAAGAACCAATTATTTCAGTTCGATGGCCGACTTTTTGAGCAGAACGATGGCGTAGCAATGGGGTCCCCCCTAGGGCCACTCATGGCGAACACCTTTCTATGTAGCATAGAAGAAAGTCTCGAATCGGCAGAGAAACTACCATCATTCTACAAAAGATACGTCGGCGATACTCTCGCAGAGAGCAAAGATGATGCCGAGGCCTTCCTCGAGGTACTGAGAAAAGCCCATCCACCATTAGAATTCACCATGGAAACAGCCCAAAACCAGAAGCTTCCCTTTCTCGGTATGCTCATAACCAAGAAAGGCTCAGATCTACACACAGAAGTCTGCAGAAAACCAACAGATCAGGGCCTTCTCTTGCACTTCAAAAGCCACGTGGACATAAGATACAAGAAAGCTCTACTCAAGACCATGTTACATAGAGCCTATAGACTCTCCTCGTCCTGGTCGTACTTCATGCAGGAAGTAAATCGTCTCAAAGAAATCTTCGGGAAACTCCAATACCCTATGGTCCTGTTTAACTCCTCAGTCAAAAGCCTAGTGAACCAGCAACAACAAAAAGATCATCAGCAATAACAACAGCCATCAAGCGACACACATAACGTGATAAGATTTGCCTTGCCTTTCAAAGACCAAACATCGTGTGATGTCGTTAAAAGAGGCCTCAAGGAACTCAGCAATCGCCTAAATACGCAAGTGCAAGCAGTCAGTCACAAGCCGAAAACTTGGCGACTCGCTTGGTCTGAAAGACCAAGGTTCCTTTATCTTAATACCATACAGGGTTATCGAAACGTTCAAAACATCGACAAACGAGCCTGGGATAGCACTGCTCCTTGAGTTCATACAAGCTTGTGAGGTGCTCGTTTGGAATGTTCATAGTATAAATAATATTATTTGATGGAACACACGTTTGACTTTTTTTGCTTTTCTAAGGAATTTAAAAGGTATGACATTGTTTATGGTATGGTTAAAGGTATGACTTGATTGGTCTATCTTTCGTTCGTATTTCCCGCTATTTACCAGTGCGCGCGAGGCGCCAGTAAATACCGCCAAAATTAAAGCAGTCCCAGTCTGAAAGCCACGTTTCTAAGGTTTATTTTGGTACCAAACATGGCGAATAAAATGGAAAGAAAATGGACGATCGAGGCCAATTATTCGCGTGAAACACGAGTCGTCGCCAGCCATTTCACCGTCAAGTTAGTGATGTTAAAAAATATGGTACAATTTCTAGTACCAAAAAGGACGCCSTTTATCGCCTTCAAAATAGCTGAAATCGCTGTGTTTCTAGCTCAATGTGTGGACTTTGAGAAATGATCTTTGAAAAATCAGTGACATGTAATGAAAGACGATCAGCTACGGTGAAATTTCGCTTCTTCGCGGATTTTCACCATGAAATACAAGGGCAAAGGAGACGACGAAAGGCAAATGCGGCAATGTTACGATACCAGSAATATACCTGTACTCGGAGTCATCCAAATCAAAGCTCATTGCCGAGTCAGAACTACAATTTTCTGTCGTTTTGTGGACTTTTGAACTAGATTTTGCCATTCTGATGCGAAGTGTGAGAATTACTTACAACCTTGACAGTTCGATGGTACCTAAGCTGATGTCATATCTGGTAACTCGCACCAGATCTCGAATTCCCGGCCAAGGTGCGGCAGTAAAAATGTTTAAAAATCTATAAAAAATTCCTCATTGCTTCCAAATTAATTCTGACAACGCAAAATGGTTACTGAACTACTACAAATTGCTTCAAATTTTTGAATTTTTAGGGGCGATGTGCACTTTAACAAGAAAACATAGATCACAATTAGAATTACAGCTGTCTTCGCCATCCAGATCATGACCTGACAAGTTAATTGCAAATACTCCCGGGGGGGGGGGGGGGGGTTACTCCCCTATATTCGCTATACGGGGACGTGCCGCCAACCAGGGTATCGTTTTCAACGATTTCACTCTGGAACTGGGTGTCATTTTTAGCGATTTTACTCTGGAACAGGATATCGATTTCAACGAATTTTCTCTGCGGAACAGGGTCAGGGTTTAATTCCGGAATTATTGATAATAGGTAAAAATTCATGGGGTAAAAATTCGGTCTACACGCAGRCTAGTGCTGGATTTACTCTGGAACAGGATATCGTTTTCAGCGATTTTACTCTGGAACAGGRTATAGTTTTCAGCGATTTCACTCTGGAACARKAAAATACTGTACATTCTTGGAAAAATTATCGAGCTATAAGATATTATTATTATTATATTATTATATTAAAATATTTTGATTATCAATTATATTGTTTTCTTACAGCCTTTGAGAAGAACGTTCATAATATTTGGTGCATTTGGAATTTCTATCTGTTTGATGTTTTTTGGACCAGCGCCTTTTTTGTCGTCGTTCATTCCGAGGTAAGACTATTAGATAACGATTTAACGACTCATTCTAGWCAACATCCATCTTATACAACAGGTATAAAGGACTGCGCAAGGGAGGAGAGGTTGAGTTTCCAGAGTTGGGGGCATAGTATAAACGGCCTGCACTGTGAATAGTCCTTGTACCCTGCATACTTCCTATAGTCAAATATGTACACAAACCTTCGAAGATTTTAAAATCTTGACCATTATTCACCTGAGTTGTTTTATATCCCTGTCCCTTTTCTTCGAAAATATGAACGCTCAAGGGCTCAGTCCATCCTGTAACATTTCTGTAAACAAAATACTCATAAATACTGGTACAGCGTAGAGTGCGAATTGATGACCGGATGTATAGTCAGTATGACGGTCAAGATTCCCAGACGATCACGTTATGCCCTTAAAGTGCATATGACACGAATTTTTTTATTTGAAAAATAGAGTTAATAGTTCAAGAATAAAAGCTTGGTTAATTACCACTTGATACAGGGCTTCAAATTTCAGAGAAAATCGGAGTTAAAAATCCATTATGCTAATTTGATGACATCATTTTGTGTACTCTATAAAATTTCAACTSTGTTTTGTAACAAGTGTTCCAAGTTTACCCATGTCAAACTGTGAAAGATTGTTTTTGATTACATAACAAATATCTTCTACAAAACAATAAGGTGACAATAAACAATCRGGCAATTTTGTATTATCAATGAGTTAACAACTTGATGTCATCAAATTAGCATAAAATCCATTTTTCTCTGAAATTAGAAGCCTGCATCCAGTGGYACTTTACAGAACTATTAYTTCCTTCATATTGGTTCWATTTTCAAAATAAAAAAAATTGTGTCATATGCCCTTTAAAAAAACGCGAAGGTCGAGGTAAACCCATCTCTCTCCACATCACATTATCAGTGGAGTGATGTAAAAAAGCACTCACCAGACTATTCAACTGAGAGAATGGCACGGAGTTCCCGATTGTATGGTCAGTGCTATATAATAGCTTTAGGCGTCCTGACGGCCTCTCCAGTCCATAGCGCAAAATATCTGAGGAGCACTAGTTCTAATCCAAGAATTTCACCTCCAAGACTTGCTTCAGCTCTGATGAAGAGTTGCCGATTCAGTTAATGAGAAAGGCGAGAGGGACTTAGAGTAAAGCTATGCAAGTAGATAGCAAGTATCAATATTCATTGATGTGGCTTTCACGGAAACTTACGCAATTTAAGTACATTTCAACGTATATAGAAGATTTCTCGTCTAGCTTCATGCCATACAATAAACACTGACTGACCAACAACTGCTTGCCTTTTTTTGTAAAATTCAATCATTCTATGACTTTTGCGGATCTAGTGCGCCTGTGCTTGTGCATGTTACAAATAATAATGATGAAGTGAAGGTTGTTACAAGCCTTTCTCGCCTTTTTCACCGTCGGCTCCGGAATATTACGTTGGTCTCTCGAGATTGAACAGCGTTAGAGACTTGGAGCAAGTCTATCCTGGACAAAGATCACTGTTAAATTTTACTGAAACCAATACCCTTTCCAGGAAAGTTTGGATGTTGACTTTATCTCTAGCTGTAAGTGGTGCCGCTTTCTCGTTTGGTTTGGTTCCTGTTTTACCTGAACTGCTTAAGTGTTGTTAGTAAGTATACACATTAATAAAGGTCTTTCTAATATTAAGGACACTTTCAATGACGTGATTCAGATGATTCGACGCAGGCCTTGACGACATGGATCATACGTGTATTGAGCAGCACCGTGGTCAAACRTCTGTGCGTGCATAACCATTGAGGCATTTTGCCGTATTTCCGAAAGAATTTTTAGGATTTCAAAATACACACAACTAAAAAGAATAATACTAAAACACTTTCTTTCATTTTTACATACACCTACTTGCAGAAACGTTGTCAAAGAAAATAGAACATTTGAATTTAGTAAAAAGGAATAAATTAAAACAAGACAAAAGAAAGCGTTCAGCCTCAGTRATCTTCTTTTGTCTTTTAAATTTATTCCTTTTTACAAAATACAAATGTCCTATTTTTTTATGACAACATTTTCGCAAGTAGGTGTATGTTTCAATTAATTAAGAAACACCGTTGTTGTTCTCCAATTCACGAACGGCTTTCTGAAACAAAAGCTTTTCAAATCGTCTTTGYCTGCTATTCATGGCATTCCTAATGAGCATAATTCATAAGTTTTATAAGTATGTTATCGCATATAGACTGGAATCCCGAGTCTAATTTCGGGCTTCTTTTTCGTCGTCGCTTATCAGTCACAAATTGTCCTAGCTATCACGTGACATTCACATCCTCCATGTGCTATCTTGGATTTCTTATAGTGGCGATGGAAGACATATCAAGAGCGTATCAACGTCAGATACGCTCAAATCACTTACAAATCCACACACCATTCGCAATACAGCCACACTAAACGATGTCGAGCGTTTTTCGAAAGGGCATTTTTTGAGAGATACCGCACTTCTAGAACTCATTAATAGATCTTGAGCTATTAGTCCAATGAGCACCGAACTATTGGGTCCATAATGGGCCTTTATATCCGATAAAGTACTGATGTTTTATTAATCAGTTCTACATGTATATCAGATATAAAGAACTGRTCAAGTTCATCAGCGCTTTATCGCAACCCAACACTAGCAAAGGTTTCAGTTTTAATGTCGCATCATAGACCTTTGCTAGGTTTTAAATCAGTTTGAATCAATGTGCCGACATGCACTATAGCTAGACTAGCCGTTCTTTCGTGTGGAATCAAAATTCTTTCAATTGTGGCCGCGAGGTAAATATTTACCATTTACTTCATGACCTGCGTTGAATCTTGACCAGCACTCAGCAAAAACTGGAATAGTAGTTGCGTATATAAACCACTGCAGCCTCCGATATTGTAAACACAAAGTCATTAATATCAACATTTCTTAAATAAGATTTTATACGGTCCCAATCAGTCCAGTAACGCCAGTGTTTTTCCTCGTTGTAGGTTACACTATTTATGAGTGTTCTTGAGTCATGACAGAACATTTCAGGGTCAAAAACGTGTGGTTGTAATTTCTCGCTTGAAGTGAATCACTAATGAATTTCAATGAATTTTCAACAGACTGGCGCATGCGCACGGCAAACGGCCCCTTGTTAGATAGGAGTACTTCCTCTGGTATCCAGTTACTGCACGTGGTACAAATTACAATCAAGGATTGGCTGGATACCTCATGAATAATTAATGAGTATGAGAATTAAATTCAAAATCTAAGTGAGATTTTAAAATAATCTAAGTGAGATTTGAAAATAAGATTTCTAGGCGTGAAATTTCACATTTAAAGTTTCCATTTAAAGTCGCCATGTATTTGATTATAAGTGATATCTTTAACTGTAAACTTTTACGTCTTTGATTAAAATTGATCTCTGAGTCTCACCAGGAAAATAAATACTTTTACAAAATAAAATATGACTATAGACTATAAGTCGCATTTGTATGTAGTTTGAGCGTCTTTCAACGTACTTTGGACATCTTCATGAGCTTTCGGTTTCCTGACGAAGCAGAACATGTTTCTTCTACGAAGGTATTATGGTTATCTGAAACATGTAACATTCATGATGTCATGATTCGTTTTGGGCTACCTGTGGTCAAAAAGCGACCCATCAGATAGATTGGTTCGAAGGTAGAACTAAAGCCGGGCGCTTTGCTAGCCCGACTTATAATACAACATTCAAAATATTGAAAATTGAAATTGAATAACAAGTTCAAAAGTCAAAATGTGGAACGGCGTTACACGGACTCCGAGTTGTTAYATTCTTAATATACGTTATATCTGTGTCTAGACCGCGTTGTTGATCTGAAGTTTGTCATTTGATGTATGTGTTTTCTTGATTTGCTATCCCAAAACGTTAAGCATTTGATAGATAATGTGTAATGGTTCTTGATGCCAAATGGTATAGGCGCTTATGACTTCCAAAGATTAGTCAGCTAACGATTCATCCTTTTTACCTCGAAGATTGCGAAGCAAGAGTTATTGGAGGGGGACGAATCTGTCACTCACTCAGTCACTCACTTTCCTATAAACTTGAGCCCGCGTGTTCAGAATTATTCTCATTGTTTTCTAGTGATTTACTCATTAATTAACCGTCACCGGGTTCCCAGTTCTATATTTGATTAAACTTATCTATTTTTTTGGCAAAGAAAGAAATCTAAAGAAATGTCCTTTGGGTCTCGAACCTCAGACCTCTGGATTAGAAATCGAAGGCACTACCACTCGGCCACTTGCCTTTTCAGTGCAGACGCCCGAGATATCGATCATTGATTGGCGTTGAGGCGAAGTTTTGTTTACTTAGGGATTGTTATTATTGCTTTTTGACACTTGCGGTGATTTTATTTGCGTTTCGGTATCGTCCAGATGTAACGCTACTAGACGTGGTATGGCAGCATTTACCCAAAGACCGCAAATTCTATATAGTTGTTGCTAGACTGGGATTTATCTAGCGGGCGCTCGCCCGTGTTTATCAATAGAGCTGGGTGATTTGAGAAAATGCGACTAGCCAATCAGCGCAAAGCTGACAAGCTTATGTTGTAAACATAACCCCCGACGGGAGGAATTTGCACAGCAAAACTCGACCAAGTGGAGTAGGCTGCCTGTCATTTTATTCTATCCCGGAAAAATCGAAGAGAAAACGCGAAGAGAAATTGAAAATCTTTATAAAATAACTTTTAAATGTCAATCAAATATTTATCGTTATAGAAATAGAATTTTATCTTAAAAATGAAATAACAAATAATTTTTTCTTTAATACCACGAGACTCCCCTCCCTGATAAAAATGATTGGTCTGTGTTCTACGCGGGTTCTCCATTGCATGCGAAGCAATGGCCGACTTCACGAAGACTTCAGAAGGTCGTTGAAGCGACGTTCAAGTCCAAGGTATCTTAGGAGGAACCATTGTAAATCCTTTTTCTTAGCTCTTGTTTCCTCTAAGCTTTGAGGTATCTACAAACTCACTGGAAGAAGTAGAGCAGCTTAGCTCCATGTATTCCAATAGAGTTACAAAGCGTCTGTGATTTTTGGTACAAACAATTGTCGTAGTTCATCCGTTGTCTCATTTTCGGCAATATACCGCAAGCGTGCTCGACGATTTGACGTTATTTAACAGTTCAGTTACACATTTACTAGCTATGACCTTACAACGAGAGCTAGAACGGTGACTGAGGTTTTTCGTGTAATGTCTTGATAGCGACTGTTTATGTCGAAACGACTCAAAACAAAATTCCATCGTGAAAAAAKTTCGACTAAATTCCCTTCTGAAAAACACGTGTCAGTGTATTTAAGGTGGAAAATGTTTCACATGAGCATTCAATTCTTGAAGGTTTAATTCTATAATCATTTTGTTTAGTTATGTAAATAAATTTAACACGACTTGTACTGTTTGAGTGAAAGGCGAGCTGCGGGTTTTCCCTTTTCTTTGTTTACACTGGCTTACAACCTTGGCGAATTCATATGCAGCCTGGTCGCAAATCAATCACCCAGCTCTATTTTAACGAAAAAAAATTTTTTTAATCAACGAAAAAAAACTATATTCATAAAAAGTTTACTTTAAATTCTATTTGTTAAGTATAGTTAAAACACGAGAGATGTTTTATCAGCTATAAAACAGTGTTTTTCACGAGAGTGTTTTATCAGCTATAAAACAGTCTTCGAGCCGAAGGCGAGAGTCTTTATTCCTGATAAAATACGATCTCAAATCCGTTAAAATTCTTGGAGAAATTGACGTACAAATATGTTCTGAGATAAATGGGGCAAACTGATCATGCGCGAATAACTTTACAAAGCACTCTTGTCGACCCACATTGAATACCCATAAAGTAAAATAGAACCGCTCTTGGCTGTTCACTGAAATCGGTTGACWTCCTKCATTGGTCAATGATCAGGTTTCAAACCTGAGACCTTTGCTAGTGTCATGGACCTTTATATCTGATAAAGGTCACCCKTATTAGTATTYTTTATRTWAAGRATACTAATAAGGAGTGTTTTATCAGATATAAAGGTCCATGCATGTGAACCAAAAGTCTCATTCTATTGGCCTAGTAGCTCATTAATTATGTATGAGTTTTGGAAGTAAGTATAACTTGATTCATCGTATTGTTCCGTATTCGTCTAATCAATCAATTTGCGAGTTGTGTTGCCATTGGCGGCTTGATTCTTTATTTTAACAAATGTCTCCAATGCCATCCACAAAGAAAACAGACGAGAATCAATAAAGGATCTAAGGCACGAACATTTTGAAACAATCAAAAATTAACTCGAATAACTCGATTAACTCGAACTTGTTCGAATAACGTACTATTTTGTAAACAATTTCCCACCATCATTATCATTATTAATTATTATTATTAAGAATATTAAAATATTCTTAGATATGCAGATAATCAAATTTTATATTCATATATATTTATATAATAGAGCTAAGTGTAACTGACCACGTTAAATAACGTTTATCTTATCTTATCTTAACAGTGAACGAGGGTTCCCAAAAGACATCTTAACAGATTCTCTAATATCTGGTATTTATACCGGGGTCGCTAATCTAGGGTGAGAATATTTGCCTTTTCAGTGCGAACTCTATTTTTTGAATTTTATATATTTACTATTAATAATAATAGCGCTGCAAATTTTGTGTCTGGGTTTTTAATCCCAAATATGGCGATCATTTGATTTTGAATTTTCAGAGCATTTTTTGGTCCAGCTGTCGGTGGTATATTGACTGGTGCTGTTGGTTTTCCATGGACTTCTACAGTAAGTAAATTTGCATCTTTTATGTATAGTTTAAAACATGAGAGACAGTGTATCAATGTCGCGAATCACTTTACAAAGCAATCTTGTCATCCCACATTGAATACGCATAAAGTAAAATAGAAGTGCTGATAGCTGTTTTACTGCAATCGGTTGACATCCTGCATTGGTCAATGTTCAGGTATCAAACCTGAGACCTTTGCTAGGGTCATGGATGGTACCCATCAACTAGGTAACATTACTGAAGACAATGCAGATCCAAAATAATTGATTGTAGAGTACGACTTCTGCAACACCTCAAACTGGTCAGTCAAGAAGTCACACCTCAAGTAGCTTGAAGGGGATCTGTTTTCCTCCTTTCACACCAGCAACAAAAGCAGGAAAGGAGAGAACTGAAAGGAGGAAACATATAAGGTCTCAAGTCATGCCAACTAATAGAGAAGGCATCAATAGCCTTTGACCCTGGCTCTGGTTTCCACAAAACGTAAACAGCAGTTTCACGGTTCAATCTGAATTCAAAAAGATCAATGTCAGTCTCAAACAAAATGTTCTTAGGCCCTTTGAAAAACCCTTGGATCCAGCATCCAAGCTAGCGTTGAGCTCCCTTGATAGACTGTCAGCTTGACAATTGAATTTCCCTGGCAGATGAAAAGCTTCTATGTTACATTTGTGTTCAAAGCACCATTCCCATATACGGTACTCTTGGCAATCTGATGAAGGCTGACAGACCTCCCCCCATATTATTAATACTGCAGAAGTATTGTCACAAAGAACTTTAACACAGCACTGAGTGGTGACAAAACATTGAACTTCAAACCAGATTGCCATGAGTTCTAAGCAATTGATATACTGAGTTTGTTCCTCTTGAGACCACACCCAATAGACCTAATCGGCTAACGGCGTTGCTATGTACGTTGCCA